TTTTTTTTTCTAGGCCGGTCTAAATGCCGGTCTAGATGGGAAAATCTAGACCGCTTTCAATATTGATTTCAGCCAATCAAATTCGTGAATTCGGTAGTTCCTAGTCTTTGTGAGACACAGCCATATAATAATCAGCGATACTACACAACAAAACGTCTAATAAGATATATGTATTTGCTAGGTTGTACTGAGAGGGGAGGGGGAAGGGCGCGGCGATCTTTCTCATAAAACATCTATATACATCAAAGGGGTACGTCCTCATGGTCTGATATTGGGCATTGTCTGGTAAGCTCCGCAAAAGCTGAGGTCTTGAAGATCCTTATAATTGCAGTGAACTTCCGTGTAGTGATTTAAGATAATTCTATAGCGCCACCTTTCTTTTTAAAAGCTTCAAGTTCGACCGATAGCAAAATCTTTATTCTTTTAGTTGAATTCTCATTTAAGTGGTAATTTGATGTGGTTCTGCACTCGTGTGACAACAATCATCTTCTAACTTCAAGTGAAGAGGTATTGCGGTAACGTTTAACACGCGGTATTTTTATAACAGACATATTCAAGAGACAAGAACCTTAACAAGTTCTACAGTTGTCTGTCAACCAACAGAGGCAACAAAGGAAAGCAGTTTGTATCAACAATTGAAGGTAGGTTATATCTTATCTTCAGCTGTCAGCCTAGCCAACTCGTCTTCCACCCTCCTCCCCCCTCAGTTATTCTATCAACTCACTCCAGGCACTCAACGTTGCTGATCCCAGCGGTATACGGGATGTCAGTAGTTAAGTGGTGGAGCATTACTGCGCGGAATTCAAAGATCTAAGGTTCTATCACAGAGAGCCCATACAATCTGTTTGTGCACAGGGCTCCCATACAATCTGTTTGTGTAGCCGACTGTTGTTTTGTAGTGAATGTACCAGATTTACCGTTTGCCTCACCTATAGTGATATATTGCTGACCATGTACATAAATCATTGATAAATGAACGCTGAATTACCTTACCTGTGTTGTGTAGTCGTCCTTTTGCTTCTAAAATGTTTTTTTTTTGAGCGATTTTGAATAAGTCTGAGTTCGTCGTTTTTAAAAATCGCTAAAAAAAACATTTTTGGGCAAAAGGACGACTATACACCACAGGTAAAGTAATTAAACGTTTATTTATCAATGATTTATGTACATAGTCAGCAATATATCATTATGGGTGAGGCAAATGGTAAATCTGGTACATTCACTAGAAAACAACAGTCGGCTACACAAACAGATTGTATGGGCTCCCTCATGGGGACTCAATTTTTTTGCTCATAACAAGACGAAAAAAAACCATGATTATTCTTAATTTCACCTAATGGATGGTTGACTGTATACAATCCACACACAACACATGGATAAACGAACGTGCCAGTAAGAGATCATAAGAGAGTCTTCTAGACAGAACGACCACCAACCTTGCTTGAAGCGAGCACTTGTTCCTGCACCAAGCATAGTCGCATTAGGAAAATTTGACTGTATCTTTTCTTCTTTTTCAGCTTACAATTATCCGATCTTCGGTGTGCAGTGGCACCCTGAAAAGAACGCCTTTGAATGGTTTCCAAAGGTGGCCATAAATCACTCTAAAGAGGCAATACTGATAACTCAATATGTAGCGGACTTTTTTGTCAACCAAGGTGGGGAAATTTTTTTTTAGCTTAATGTAGCGCCCTTTGCAGCCCTTCTAACCCTTCTCCTTTGAGTTGCACTTCTAGTGTTCTTCCACAAAACTGTCTCCTTTGTGGGATAGAAAGCCTCCATCCTAATTGATCCATCCCACAATTCTCCGCCAAATTGTCATCCCTTCATTTACAACAACGTAAAGCCTTCCTTAGGGTGGAAGGACGTAGGCTTCGTAACTTGTGCGAAATGTTTTTGATAACTTTGGGTAATCATTTCTTTTCAATAAATCAAGATTTTAATCCATGCAAAGATTATTTACACAAAAAGTAAAAAGTATGAAGAAAATTAAAGTGGATTGAATAAAAAGTTTTTGGTCATCTTTTTAGCTATGCCATTTTGTTGCTGCGCTACCATGAATATCCCGACCCAAAATGTTGAAAATCATTCTTAAATATTAGAAATATGTGGATAAATGGAGGATAGTGTACCCGAGGTTGAGGAACTGATGTGAGATTTTATTTTCAGCTCGTCTGAGTGGGCACAGATTCTCAAGTAAGGAGGATGAAGATGCGGCGTTGATTTACCATCACAATCCAGTCTTCTGTGATCCGGACATAACCCACTTTGAACAATGCTATATTTTCTAGAGATGGCTTTTGACTCACAGATCATCGTGTGTTAAAGCGCTTTTCAAATGAAGCAAGTCAAATGATAGGAAAATATGAAAGGAAAATGTGGTCAAACATTGAATTTCACAGGTCTAGTCAAATGACTACACATGTAAAATTTTACAAAAACTTAATACCTTTGCGAGATTCATACTTTTTGGCCAGTTATCCCCCGTCACTTCATGGGGATGTATTCTTCTAGGATCTTATAGCAATTGCAGCTATGCGATTAACGATTTGCATGTAAAGTGAAACTCGTCATTGGTTTCCCCGTGTCTTAGAACAATTGCTTTGTTAAAGTTAGGGTCATTTTTTATAATTGCCGAAAATAATACGGTTATATTTTGGTTTTGCTACACTTTGCTGTTCCAGTAGACTCACGCCGCGCTTTCACAACAACACCACCGCCTCGCTGTGTTTTTTTTTTTTGTGTGTGTGTTTTTGTTATTTTTTTAGCATTGCTCTGCTGTACTTTGTTAATGCACCATTTATATCCAATTGCCAAGTTGCATGAAGCCTCTAAAATCTCATTAAAAATTATTTTGGCCTGGCGAGCTTGGATTTTTCCTATGGCGAGGCTAGCTGTGAAGATATTCTGTGAACGATACGGACGAATGTACATACCGTTACTTTCCTCACGCCCGAGTTAAGCGAGGGGAAAGCATTCGTTTTCCGAGGGGCAGTGAATTTTCATTTTCAGTATTGGCTATGTCAGTGAAAGATATGTGCCTCCTTGAACAATCGTGAAGACATTATGGATCGATGGGCTTCTTTTCGGTCCATTAAAGAACCCTTAATAAAGGATATGAGCTGATACCCAGCCTTGCTTACCAGGGACTTATCACATGGACAACTATTACGCCGAAGCATTTCGCTGTCCCATGCACAAAGCAGGTCGGGAAAATGGTCCCATCTTGCCCACTCATTAGTCAATCAGAAAACAGGATTTGGTCATCTTCTCTTGTGAATATTCTGTAGAGACAATCGGAATTGCCTTTTTGCGACCAAAGCCACAAGTTAGTCAGTGAGAACAAAACCATTCCTTTACCACTCCTTGCCATTTGTCCTCCTTCCTTTCCATTCGTGTGTATGTTGTAGTTCAATTTTATACTTGTTCAAATTTTTTTTTTCCTTTGTTCTCGGTCATGTTAATGTATGCTAATGAGTTTGAAACAAAGGAAAATAAAATTTGAACGAAGGATAAAATTGAACTACAACATATATACCACCGTGACTCAGGATGCATCACGCATGCACCATTAATGACCTTTAATATTTTCTTCTTGAAAAAAAAAAACACAACCGTTTTCACACGACAACTTCGATGAAAAACGTTAATAATTTGCGTCATAAATAACTCATAGCCTTAATAATAAAAATAAATAGGCTTTGGCAGAGTAGAAGGCTGAATAAATCATTTCCTAGCAAAGCAGAGATTCAAACACGATAATTATGTAGTATTTCAAGAAAAAAAAAATGAACGCCATTTTATTAGGCGGACGGAAAGAGAGCTGCTTTACATAATTTTTGGACCTGCCATCTTGGTTTACCGGCAGACCGATATAATTATTAGAAGTATTCCACAACAAATTAACGATGAACTACATTAAGTTAAGTCGCTTCGTCAAAGGATAGTATTAGATGTAATAAATACTCTTTCATATCTTCATATAATCAATTTTATCAAATAAGAAAAGCTTCGGAAAAAAGTGTAAGGTAACAACGTCTCGAGAGTTCAAAACGATAAATACAAAATAATGTAAACATTTGTGAATCCACAACATATGTGTTGAGGTTTCTGAGAAAGCCAAAACTTGGTAAATACGATAAGTTCCCTAAATATCCGCTTCGTATATCTGATGAAAATGAACGGTTAACGAAAAGTGAAAAAGTTGAACCATTTTGCAAAATCATGTTCGCCTCGAAGTGGATGTAAATTGCACCTTCAGCGAACCAGTTAATTGGAAACTTACGTAAATCGCAAATAAATCACGAGACAATAAGTAATCGGTACTTCGTGATAGTGCAAGATTTAACGAATAAATTTCTTGTTGGGTCAAACTACTTTCATGAGACGCCATTTTAGCAACTCCCAGTTTGTGCCCAACATCTATGCTAAAATATTGCTGGCCGAATTACTTCTCGAAGCCGCCAATTTTCTATGTCGATGTCGCCGGCCGCTCTTTAAGTCCTTCATGTCAGATTTCCACTGTGCTATCATGTCCGATAAAACACGCAAACCCTCCAAAATGCCATCTCCGCATTCAGCTGAGGTTGGCTGTAGATACCACAAATGATTAGAACTAAGATTATGAAGCGATAATTTAGCTGAAACCTCCATTGGGGCTGATGCGTTTGGTAAATCTTGTTTGTTCGCAAATATCAAAATCGGTGCTCCATTGATTTGAGCGGAGTCAACAAGATTGAACAGTTCAGCCTTCGCCTCTTCAATTCTTTCCTCATTTGCACTATCAACGACGAAAATAATTGCGTCCGTTTGCCGCACGTACGCCTTCCAAAGTGGACGGATATGTTCTTTTCCGCTCACGTCCCAAATTTTAAATCTCAAGTCCTTAGACGGTCGAACGGTTTCTACATTAAACACTGGAGTCGGAACAATTCTTTCCTTCCAATCTTTCCACTTGCTTCGATACAAAATGGCAGTTTTCCCACTCTTGTCGAGGCCCAACATGACCACATGAAATGGTCTCCGCAACTTAATTCTCGGTCGAAAGCGACGTAAGGAAACTATCACCGCATTCCCCATTACCCACTCCGTACTTTCCTCAATCGTATCAAAATATTGCGATATTCAAAATAGAGGTCACACCAGTTGCTCCATACGAACTCTGAGAAGTATTTCGACGGCTTTCTTCTGTTTCAACTGGCAATTTCTTGGCACTAATGCCAAATTAGACGAAAGAAATGTTGAAAAGCGAAATTTGTGTTTCGGTTTCGCACTAGCTAGCGGGAGTGTACTACAACTTCTCGTGAATTTTCACATCTGTGCGTAGTAAATTTAAACGAACTTGCTGAAATATGCAAATTTCGCTAATCTGGTTTATTGACAAACGGACTACTGATTGGTTCGTGGATAAAAGCAAAATTTGTTCATTGTGCCTGAACTAGGCCTCATCAAGAACGCTTTCGAGGGTCGCAATGAGATAAACAATCAATGAACGCAATATTTCGCGGGAATTTTTGCCTTCTGTTTCCTCTTTTCCGTGTAACATGTCACGCCGCGACAACTGTGCGTATCACATGTATTTCAAAGTAAACCCTAGTAAAGTAATCCGACAGGTACGTTTCTATACTTGACCGCGGGCATAGCTTAATTAGTCACTCACAGATTCTTTCTCATCATCGAAATTCAATGAACAGGGAACCGAAACGAAATTAGGTGTCTGCCCCAAACTAAAAAAATAAACGTGATCTTGGTACCCTCTCCTCCCGGAAGCCGGCTTTCTACAATCGCTTATAATAAAAAACTCCATTCATGAAGTTTTCTCCTTTACTATTAAAATGGTTAAAGCTTATCAGTTATTCCCCCTGGCTTCAACAAATTCTTGCGTTAAAAAACCTTCCATAGGATGAAACCAGGGATAAAAAATATACCATCTTTTTAATTTCCTTATTGAACCAAGCCTTTCGAAAATGATGCTGCAATGCATTAGTAAGATCTCCCCCTCAGTGCTAAAAGGAAGATTTTAGAAATTATTGTTGGCAGTTAATCGATCCAAGAAAAAACAATTAATTTTTCAAACCAGAGACAACAGGTGGTTGCCTGGGATAGCTAAAATATGTATATCGCAGTGGTTGGCGATAATATTGAAGCAAAACAACTCAAGCCGAATTTGTGGTGTATAAAAGTATCTGAATACTCAAGGCGAAGAGTATCTCTTTCGTACTACAGTTTGTAAAGACTGGACTAAAAAATGAAACATTATAAGAGATACCGAAGGTCTTATAGAAGGAGCTCAATTTACCAAAAAATGCATCAATTTGCGGTTCAAGGTTTCGCCTTGTCTGAGATGGAAAACACCTGTTGTACTCTATTGGATAGCAATAATTGTGGAATACGCCATACCAATATACTCATTCAACCCACATCAATTAATATTTAAGAGCCGTCAATGAGCCGGTTAGTTTCAAAATATTAAAACTCAGCTCAATAGGTAGGCTCAGTTGAAGGATCGAAAGATGGACAAAGCTCAGTGTTGGAGACCGGATGGAAGCGTTTGGAATCGAACAGAACTGTTTGAAGTCAAACAAACGTATTAGAAATCGGAAAGAACTTTCTAGAATCGGATACTACAGTCTTATATTAGGCAGATGAGTCTAAAGATCAGGCACACCATCAAAAAATTGAACTCAACTATAGCCTCCATAAGAACGGATACTTTCGAAAATCAAACTTATTGAAGGCATCTGGAAACGGACGGAAGCACCCGAAAATGGACTTACGAGTCCAAACCGGTCAATGGAATCATGGAAAAAATGATAAGCAACCGTCCGAAAGCACACAGAAGCGTCCAAAATCACTCCGGCAAGCGTCCACAGCAAATCAAATGGAATTAAGAATTAACACAATTTGGGCACTAAAAAGTAGTCACTCTGTATTAAGCAAAACACAAATCTGAAAATAGCTGAATATTTCTTAAAAATATGGAAATTTATTGTGGCAATTAAATCTCAACGTTACTTGTCAACGTTTTGTCCTACTACAAAAATTGGTATATCAGGTATTTTTTTCAAAATATTAGTTAACAGAGAATATTCTTCAATATTGACCATATTTATCACTGTGCTACTTAATACCTATTTCAGAAGTCAATGAATTATATGAACGACATAAACGAATAAAATCTTAAATATGATATACAAAATGGTTCAAGCAGCTGTAGTTCTTGACATACATGCTTGACCAAAAAAAATGTAAAAAATTGTTTGCATGAAGATGATGTTGGAAGAAAATTTTAACGGAGGCGTATATGTTTTACATGTAAGACCTTTAAAAGAAATGTTTGCGGAAGAAAACTCATGAAAAATAATAGTCCGTCCCTGATCAAAGGGCGATCTACTTCTGAAGAATGATTAGTTCCCAGACTACTAACTCTCTCGTCGAAATCAAACATGGCGAAGGATCTATGGCAACTGTGAACTTAATCAAAAGCGTTGTGAAGTGAGAACTTGTGTTCACCTTGTGATTATCATAACTTATACTCTGAGAAGCCATGGAGAAAACTATTCTGTTGTATCAAGATGTCACGTAATCTCTTGTTTGCAAGGCAAGGAAGATAAAGTTTATCAGTTCGGAGAATTCTTAAGCACGAGAGCAGGAAGGTAAACAAACTAATTGTGGGATCTACTTGCATTCGCCTTCAACTCATGATTAGTCTCTCATAAGTTGAACAAGTTTTCTGCGACGGGTGTTCAGGAGAGGGAGAGCTCGCATCTTAAATTATTTTCGTGCAGAGTGGTCGGACAAATAATTTTTCCCTGGATTAAGCGAATTGCATGACCTCACTGCACACATTCACTTCGTGTCATCGTAAAATGCAGGAAAATAAAACGTGGTTAACTTTACAGCTGATATGACGAGTGATTTTGGTGCTTTGAAAGATCACTCAGTAATTTATCTTTCATCCCGTTGTTCCCTTGTTGACCAAAGTAGAGTAGAACATACAAGTTAATTTGTCGTTAAGAGGTATATACTCAGTGTAGCAACCAAGCCTGGTTCCTTTAGAATATTCCCTGAAAGAACTGCGAGGGAAATACATCACGTTTAGAAGGTGTCTAAAATTACCTAAAAATCATTTTTTGTAATTGATGTAACTTCCTTGTTTTTCACATGCATTATCAAATTGAATGTTATTAAGAATAATTTTTCAAAATATCATCTTACAGGCTATTATAAGCTCATCAAGAATGGGAGATAACGCCAAGCCCCTTCGCTTCACAATTGAAATCTTCAATGCCCAATTTGTATCTTCAGGAAGCTACTTTTTGATGTTAAGAATAGTTGGAAGCAAAGTGAAACGGTCTAAAGTCAAGCTGTACGTGGGCAATTCTGATTTACCTTTGGAGGATCACCAGTTTACTACAGATGCATGTTTCGAAGATGGGGATCCTGAGACTTTGATGACTTTCACAGACTCAGTAATCACCTTTTGGTTGCCTCCTGGTACGGTTATTGCCTTTCATCTATATTTGTCATCCAAGGTTGTCATTAGAATTAAGTTAGAAGGCAGGGTAAACTGACTGGCTGTCAGACCATTGGTCACCATCATTTTTAATAATAATAATAATAATAATAATAATAATAATAATAACAATCTTTTATTAGGTAGCTCCATCACAATAGTGGTTTACATAGAGGTCCTAAATACTAGATGTGTATTATATCAAAATACACATCTAGTGGATATACATTTAACTGTGTGTGTGAAAACAGAAAATAACTGTCATTGAATTGATTCTAACTTCAATTTCTAGCAGTAAAGAGGTCAGACACTTCACAGGTTTATTATCAACAAACAAAATGATCAGCTCCCAGTTTGCTAGATAGCTCAGTTGGTAGAGCACTGCACTGTTATCAAATAGGTCATGGGTTCAATTCCTGTAAAGGCCTGATTTTTTTTCAGGCCTTACTTTCACCACATACTACCTAAGAAGTGTTCATTACTGTATTTAATTTCCATTCATTTATTCATAGTCATAGAGAAAAATGTGAAGGTGTAGTCTGATCGTCCGGGCGAGTGTAGTCCTGAGAAGGACTGTTGTCGGTGGTAGTGACTGACGTTTCAACAACCTGTGCGGAAGTCATTATCAGAGTCAATTGAATGATTGTTGTCAGTAGAATGTTCTGATGATGACTTCCGCACAGGTTGTTGAAACGTCAGTCACTACCACCGACAACAGTCCTTCTCAGGACTACACTCACCCGGACGATCACACTACACCTTCACATGTTACAACCGGGTTCAAACCATTTACTTCATTGAGAAAAAGTTACTCATTCAAAAAGTATGTCTCAGAGTACAACAAATTTCATCTCTGAGAATCCCAATTTTCAGAAGGAGCATGTCCCAGACCCTATAGAAAGACAAACTGTAAACCAACATGCCATTCTTACTATGCAGGATTTGGATTTACTGACTGTGAACTGCTCGGAAGGAGATTCTTGTGAGAAATAGCAGCAGTCAGGCTTCCTGATATGTGTGTATTGTGTATAATCTTATAATTTTTTACGTAAAATTCATTTTGTTTAAGGTGGCATAATAAGCTGTAAATACATCCAATAATTGGTTAAATATTACTCATTTCACCTAACAAGTTGAATTTCTTTTGAACATTCAACATCAGAGAGTGCAGATGGGGATATTCAACTCATAATAGAAGCATATCGTCTTCCAGAGAATCCCATGCATGAAGGTGACAAGTGTGGAGAGGCTGTTTTTAGTGTCTTCCCACGGAGGCGTGCATTATTTTCAGCCGTGCGACAGTCAACACCATCAACTAAAGATTCTAATGAACTATACCAGTTTGAGACCAACATTACACTGAATCAAGCCCAGGAAGATCAGGGACTTTGGATCACTTGTGGTACGATCAGGGTAGCCATGCGGCTTGTATTTGAAGAGGAAGCAGAGCAACCAAGTAAGCCACATAAACTGTTATATGTAGTTCTGATTTACTGGTCAGCAAGTCAAGTGGTCTGGGTTGATCTAAACAAGATCAAGGTGGTCAAGTTTTGGTATAGATTCCTGCTGTAGGTATTCTCTGGCTTTACAGAAGAAAGTTTTACCAATGCCAATGGGGAAGGAAAATGTGATTGGTGCATGGCATGTTTTAATGAAATTGTAACTCAGAGCTAGATTATAATCCTCCACAAACCTGAATTGCCTCATCAAGACCTACTCTAGAATCAGCTGTACAGAGTTGCTACAGTACAGCAAATTTAGAGTTGAATTCAAGGTTTACTTTTCCCAGAAAAGTCATTCTGAAATCTTTAATTAATTTTTATCATAGCAGACTGCTTTTGGTGAATTATTTTTTATAGCACTGGGAAAAGAATTTCCAGCAAATGCTGCCAAGTTGAGTTCTGTGTATGAATTTACTAATAACTGCAAGTTTGGGTGCTCTGTAACCAAGCTGTAGGTGTTTTGTGCCATTGACTATATGTGATTAGACTGAATATAGTTAATGTAAGAATTGATTTCTAGAGGGTAACTCTTGGCTGATAGAACAAAAGCATATAAAAATATATATCTTTTCAAAAACACCTGAAAAGGTCAGAGTGTATCTAAGTTTCATCAGTAATAAGAATTATTTTCACACATTGGTGACAATCATCAACAGATCTACACTGTGACTTCTTTTAGGTATATGTTACTCATTAGTTTATTGACTAAAGCTGCAAGGTTAATTTTGTTAAGAATGTAAATAGTTTTAGGTACTGAGTCCTTTGCAGTTCAAGAACAAGATGATGCAGAAAGTTTAGCTAACTTTTTACCAGGGAGCAGGGAGGTAGAAAGCAAAGAGAGAAGAACTTTAGCCACAGATGTTGAAAATGAAGAAGTGATCTTAGTCTGTGAGTTTTGTAACAATAATGATATACTGTTAATTACAATCTTTGAAACTTTCAAAGTGAAGGCTTTTAGAGAGCAGTTAGTATCATATATAGTCTGATGTTTTCTAAGAGGTCGTCCCAAAGGAACATCATAATGGATACCGGTAAATCTTTTTTTTTATATTTAGTACATGCTGCTGTGCTCTAAAATCAACTTGTTTGATTACAAATAATTTTCAGGCACAATTACTTTTTTAAGATGAGGTTCAAAGTTGACGTGTTAATCCAGCTTCAGTCTTTCCTTTGTTTTGGAATCAAGAAATCCTGTGGCAGGTGGAGTGGAGGAGTCAGGGTACAGTTCTGTGGTGGTCTAACATCAAGACAAATCTGTTGCTTAATGTAACACACAGTGGAACAACATGCATATCAAATTACAGTTTAATTGAACTTCAAATTAATCTTTTTTTTAAAAGCAAGAACTTGTGTTTTAGGGGAAAAGGAGAACCATTCCAGGGACACTCTTGATAGGGTGTCCAACCAACAAACAGGAAACTTATTTGACAGCTCAGATAGTCAGATAGCAAGTGGCATAGAATTAAACAGAAAGCTTGATGCAGATGAGGCAACCTGTGACAAAGAAGAAAGAATTTGGGAAGAGAAACTGGTACCACCAAAAGTTAAGGAGAATTTCTTTAAAGCAATGCAGCAAATGGTGGACCACATGGACAAAAGCCCATTAGAACTTACTGTAGAGAGCCCAGAGTCTTTAAATGAAATTATAACATGACCAAAGTAAAGTGCGCACTCTGATTAGTGAAGTTAGCATCCCCCATTTGCTCATGGGTGTACACTGCTGACGTGAGCAAGTACAAAGACTATTTTCCGCACGCGCTTGTTTTTCTCTGGTCATGTAAGATTTGTTAAATAGAAGGGACCTCTTTAGCTACAGTGTATCAATGTTATGTTATAAAACAAATGGTAAACACCACAGCATACACTATTGAGTTATGGATGCACTTGCACTTGAGAGGTTTGCTAAGCACTCAAGAAGCTAGAGTCGCTCTCAGCTATTGCCTCACGTGACTCTTACGCTTCTTTCGTGCTTAGCAACCTCCCGTGTGCATCCATAACTCAATAGTGTACGCTGTGGTGTTTACCATTTGTAAAAGGAACTACAGTATGAAAGGTTTAGACAGAGAATTCCAAAGGACAGGTTGGGTTTTTTTGAGAAAGAGAAAGTGATGAGATAAAAGTTGCAAACATGAAGGACAGAGGCAACAATTCTCATACAGAAAGACAGCCAGGTTTCAGTATGTATCCTGAAGTCGTAACATTTACCTGCATGACTATACAAGATTTCAAATGACTATGATCGACACTGTACAATTGAAAGTAAATTGTAATTGCAAAAAGAACACCATTTGGATTTGGACAGAATATGAAGCCAGAGTGTTTAAAACAGCGTAAATAAGTGGGATAGCAAAGAGGGGAATATGCTGTTGTCAAAGGATTGTTATTTATTGGTAGAAATCACTTGATCCTGATTTTTAATTTTTTTTTTCTGTTAGAACCTCCTAAGAAGCCACAAACACTTCCAATTTCTAAAGAACCTAAACCAGGTCCTTCAACTACACCAGATACTCCAGCAGGGTTTAAAACAGTGAGTAACTTTTTCCTAAATTTATGTCTTTAGTTATTTAATGTTAAAAACTTCTTGTCGTGTGCTGAATTATGTGGTTTCACAACCCCTCCCCCTCCACCTTTGCCTCTTGCTCTTCAGCCTTACCCACTCCCTTTCCTTCNCTATAACCCTTCAATTTACTTGCTTTCCCTGACTCCTGACCTGTATTGTTTTCTAAGTGTTTATTTTACATTTCATCCACTCAGATCCAGGAGTCTGCCCTTGGTTCACATGTCAACAGTATACCTGTGCATCATCTGTGTGGGAGTAACACAGCAAGAGAAGGAAAATGTGAAGTGGCAGTTCTTATTCATGGTGCTCTGGGACTGCCAATGAAATCTGATGGAAGGGCTCCTCAGCCGTACATTGTGGGGTTAGTAGTAGAAACTATTGAATAACCTGTAAAAGAACAATAGTTCATCTGACATCTTTTGTGAATTGCTTTAATTCTCTGATTAGATGTCTTGATACAAACTCTACTTCAAGCTCAACACTAATTACTCTCAATACAAACCTTACACTCCTTGCTCTTTCGACTCGAAAGCACATGTACAAAACTATTTTCGGCCTGTAATCAATGCTAAATAAATATTAACAGCGTCACACCCTTATTGCATAATCATGTTCTCGACACATCCTTATATCATGTACTTGCTCATGATTACTTTTTCATGCCATCTATAGTGCATAAAATTAAGTAGCAATGGATATAAAGTCATCGCAAAGTAAGTTAGAAACAATTTATCGTAAGTGCTTAATTAAATAAGCTGGAGCTTTAGGTATACATCCGCAAAATTGAGTTTAATCTCTAGCAAGTGCTGTTGAAACACCTCATTCTCCTCTCAGTGATGATCATACAGTGTTATTCATTTATGACCATATTTTTTTGTGACCAACGTTGCCCAAGGGGGGGGGGGAGAATGTTTCTGCAATTGTGATAAAAGTCTTGGCTGGATAGTTTGTTCCTCTCATATATTTTATCTTTTATAAGTTGCTTTTTTGGGTGTATAAAAGTCAATATTTTTCTTCCAACAAAGTCTTGAAACATTTTGTTACAATGTTACAGGAAGTCCAGGAGAGCAGTGACAGAGATGCAAATGGGTCAGTCAGTTACCCATGCTGTCATTCAACCAACGCACTCTCCATCTTGGGAGGAATTGCTGCTGACTGAGGTTCATAAGGATGAAGCTAACGATGAAGGTCTGTCTTACAAAAATTTCAAACAAGCTGTTAGCAGACTGGCATTTATTTTTATTTTCTTTCTATTATTTTCTTGCACAGCTGTTATCTTGCTGATGGCAGACCATCCTAGTAAAGAGTTACTGACAGAGTATAAGGTGCCACTCAGCCATCTGAAGCCTTTTCATCAATATCATTTGGAGTTGGTTCAGGTATTATACACTTTTGTGTGTAAAAGGAGGAACAGAGGGAGATTTGATTTTGGACTGCTAGGCTAGTCATCTGCTATAGTGTAGAAGAATGAGGTATGCAGGTAGGCTCCCTGTGGCCGTTTTCTCAGATTGGTTATTCTATTCTATTCAGAAGGTTGGGTGGAGGAGTACATGCAAAAGCCATTTGCTTATAAATTGAGTGGTCTCGCTGGCCATTTCTGACAAATGTTCAGTGTCCCTAGTCACTTAAACTTATGGAATCCAGGACAACCTTAGGTGATAACTGGGCCTCTTGAATCCTTTAGCAGATTGCTAATCTGTCAGTAGACTTTCATTTGACTCTTTGCCTGTTTCTTTTATTTGGCTTTTTTCTACAGCCCAACTCAGAACTTAGTGGTGACACAAGACTGTACATCACACTGATGAAGAAACTGGACATGTTACCTCTTCCATCTGTAGAGGAAAAAATTTATGGCTTAGAGGTAAAGCAAATGCAACAGAGTGAAATTTGATTTTGGAATGCTGGGCTAGTCATCTGCTATTATAGTGTATATGCACATATCTACATCTACATGATCTACATAGGTTAATTGATCACTCCCCATAGGAGCTTTTCAGGGCCAACACCCACCCATCCC